CGTCGTGTATCGTTGCGAGAAATGTGAAGTGTACGTATGCGACGAGTGCTGCGTGTTGCCAAGCAAAGAATCATGCCACTGGCTCCACCCTCACCATCCTCTGAGAATGAATGTCGAGCACGAGGACACGCGGGGGATGTGCGACGGATGCCATTACCTTTTACAGTGCCATGTGTACTATGTGTGCGAACAATGTGGATCCCGCCTCTGCGTCGATTGTTTCCGTTCGTCGGGAACGGACCGCAGGCCGGTCCGATGGAAAGACGCCACGCGAATACCCATTCGTCACTACAGCCACGTTCACGACCTGACAAGGTGCAGATTCAAGGAAAACATCGATTCTTGCAGATGCGTGATATGTGAGACAACCATGTGGGGTGATGGGTACGCTTGTCTGAAATGCAATCATTATGTACACGAATCTTGCATGGACACCCCACAAACCATCTATAATCATCCTTTTCATCCGATCCATCGCATCCATCGTCTAACCTCAAGCATTTCTTATCCTTATGGCGCTGACTGCGAACGTTGTTGCGGAAAGATTGCTTCTAACGAAGAGCCTTTTAGCTGCGAAGAGTGCAAGTTCTATCTCCATGCACGATGTGTGATTGCCAGAGCGGTGAATCTAGGCCGCCACGAACATGGTCTCGTCTATGGTACTCTCCCGGACACCGGAACAGGTTCCTTGCTTTGCGATTATTGTCATCGTGTTGTTGAATGTAACAAACCTCGTTTACGCTGCGTGCAATGTCCTAAGGACTTTCACGTGAAATGTGCGGTTGTTCCGAAAAAGGTGGAACACTTTGCACATCATCATCACTCTCTTACTCTCGTAGAAACAGCAAGTTACTTGTATAAACCGTCAGAGCAATACTGCGACATATGCGAGTCAACAATGGACGTGAAAGCTCCTTCCTATTGCTGCGGCGACTGCAGGTTCTTTGCTCACGTCGAATGTGTCCTTTCTAAGGTTAGAAGTCGTCCTTGAGTAAACATGATCTGAATCATGCTTGGAGTTGGAGTTTGCTTTATGAACAATAACTATATGTGTAAGTATATATATATATATATAATATTAATTTAGGCTGTTAATAGTTATCTATCATTAGGGTTTTCATCGGGTTTTTGCAGGGACAATGGCTTCCTCAATTCGTGTTATCAGATGAGCCCAAAGAAACCAATCATATACCTCGTGATTCTTCTTCTAACAATGAGCAGGTGAAATAATTGATCACCTTTTCAATAACATTTGTACTATATATATATATATATATATATATATATATATATATGATATGTGTCTCTATTTTCTTACTTTTCATGCAGATACTTCATCCGTGGCATCCTCATCCGTTAAGCTTGAAAAACGGTATTAACGAAACTTGCCGTATGTGCTGGTTTGCAATCGACGGGCGTGCGTACAAATGTGAGACATGCATTCTCTCTAAGTTTTGGGTGCACGGAAGCTGTGCGAGATTACCAGAGCACTTCGACCACCCTCTTCATCCCAACCATACTTTATCCCTTTCGATGTTTTCGGGGTATCGAATGTGTTATCTATGCAGAGATTTCCTCGGAAGTCTTGGCTTCATTTGTCGTACATGCGACTTCGCCATAGATATCAAATGCATGGATCTCAAGGAAAACGGTTTCGACAACATGGGCAACGCGCTTGCACTGAAACACGATTTCCATGAGCACGAGCTGACCCTTGTGAAAGGCTCGTCTATAGTATTTGGTTGCAAGGTTTGCGAGGAAACTTTTAATTATAAGGGCTCTCTAGCGTACTTCTGTCGTGTCAAGGGTTGTTTCATAGCTTTTCACCTGCCATGTCTGCGATGGTCGGGAGTGGTCTGTTAGGCCGGAGACTCACATTGACCAAGCTAAAGGGGAGCGACATCAAACAGGAACTCACGAAGAAGCTCGGATGGTGAGTGTAATGCAAGCAACTACACACGAAGAACAATACGGTGTAATGGACGAGTGGCACAATCCTTGGAGTGATCTTGGTATTCTCATTGACTGAATCAAAGGAGCTAAATCAGAAGATATTATGTTTCTATTTCTGTTTTATTTAGCTGCTTATTCTTTGGTCAGAATTGATTTAGTTTCCATAAACTTTCCCATGTACAACTCTCATATATTCTTGCTGTATGGTACGAAGCTAATTAACAGAGACAATGGAGATTCCTTCTCCAGTACTTTCTTCAAAACTCAGTCTTTGAAATCTGTTAGCGTATCAAAACTCTTCCAATTCTTCAAATTATTTCATGGTATCAGAGCCTCAGGGCGAGATATTCCACCATCTTCCTCCGTTTCTGTCCATTTCTCAATCACCATAACCCTCGCCATGGATTCTTCTCTTCCCAAGATCATTCCAATCATTTTTGATGGAAAAAATTATCTCATCTGGTCGAAGGCGGCTCGTACCACCCTTATCGGAAAGGGCCTTTGGAGTCACGTCCTTAAAGATCAAGATCCAAGACACACCGCAACAACAACAGCTTCGTCACAACCTATAGGCCCAACACAATCAGCAGGCCACACACCAACGCAACCTACAGTAGAAACAGACCTCACCGAGACAAAATGGTATCAGGAGGACCAGCAAGCACTGGCGATTCTGCAGAGTTCCCTGGCTCCTCACATCATCAACAACTACATCTACTGTGAGACTACCAAATCTCTGTGGGATAAACTGAAGTTGGTGTATGGTAATCTCTCAAATATGAGCAGAATATATGAAATCAAAAAGGCACTGTCTACAGTGCAACAAAACGGCAGATCCTTTGAGATGTGCCTCGGCGAGATTAGCAGTTTATGGGCAGAATTCGATCAATTGCGACCTGATACTGCAGATTCTAAGATCATTCTCGAGAGAAAGGAACAAGATAAGGTATTTTCCATTCTATCTTGTTTGGATGGTACTTACAATGAACTTGTGTATCATGTCCTTAGGCAAGACAAGATTCCATCTGTGGATGAAGTCTGCATGTTAATCCAGCGAGAAGAAGGTAACCGAAACCTCTTCCATAGCAACCTCGATCTCGCACATATTGCAGCACAAAACAAGGGCTCATCCTCTCAGACAGAAGAAGCAAATCTGTCTAGAAAATTCTATCCTACTTCGAGCAACAAGGAGAAGAAAACCAATGTCTGTGACCATTGCAAAAAAACTGGTCATGACAAGAGCAGATGCTGGTTCTTACATCCACATTTGAAACCTCAACATTTCAGAAATAGAGAACCACGCAACAACCCATCGGCGCTGCTCTCTCATGACAATGTCCAGGCCCTCATTCAAGCTCTCCAATCGATGAACAACGACAATGGTAACAAATTTATAAATTCTGTTATAATCGATTCAGGTGCCACCAATCACATGTTTTCCTCCAAAAAATGGTTTACAAACCTGACAAACATGTTTGGCTCGGTATCCGTTGCTAACGGTCATAGAATTCCGATTGCTGGCCGAGGTTCTGTCTCATTTTTTGACAAAAATATTACTGCTCTATATGTTCCGAATCTTAAAACGAATCTAATCTCTGTTCCTAAACTCGCTACAGATTCTGGTTGTAAAGTTATTTTTGATTCTAACGAGGTTTGCTTTCAGGATACTAAGACCGGAACGATCTTTGGGAAGGGCTTGCTCCAAAACAATCTCTACATGATCGGACCTTCTTCTTCGTTCTCGTCGGAGACAGCCTTTAGCGTTCTTTGGCATGCTCGTTTAGGACATCCTCATCATAATGCTTTACGCAAACTCTTACCGAATGTTTCTTTTGACAATAAGGATTGTGATGCTTGTATCTTTGGCAAGCATTGCCGCTCGGTTTTTCCTCATTCTCAGACACAGTATACTCGTTGCTTTGAGCTTGTTCATTCGGATGTATGGACGGCTCCTTCCTTTTCTCGGGATAAAAATAAATATTTTGTGTCATTTATTGATGAAAAATCCAAGTATACTTGGATCACTTTACTTGGCTCGAAACGTGATGTGTTTAGTGCTTTCCAAAATTTTTATTCTTACATCTCTAACCATTACCAAACAACTATTAAGTTTTTCCGTACAGATAATGGTGGAGAATATACGAGTCATGCTTTCTCGGCTTTTCTTCGGCAGCACGGCATAGTGCACCAAACATCTTGCGCGCATACGCCACAACAAAATGGCGTAGCAGAACGCAAGAATCGCCATCTTCTTGAAGTGGCTCGCACTCTCCTATATCACCGAAATGTCCCGGTTAAATTTTGGAGCGATGCGGTTACAACGGCGGCATTCTTAATCAACCGACTGCCTACTAAAGTTCTACACGACAAGACTCCGTACGAGGTTCTTAATCATAAACCCGCATCTATCGAATTTCTACGTGTCTTTGGTTGTGTTTGTTTTGTCAAGGTACCAGATAGTCTACGCAACAAGTTACAACCGAAAAGCACGATGTGTGTCTTCCTTGGATACTCCACCGAACAAAAAGGCTACAAGTGTTTCAATCCCACCACAAACCGAGTCCAAGTCTCCCGTGACGTAATCTTTCACGAAGACCGAAGTTATTTTCAATCTGACAATGGGTTGAAACTTAACTCTCAATTACCTGTCTCTGAGGATTATAGTCAAGTGCTCCTTCGTCTTCTCCAAGTGGCTTCTCAACCACTCTCTGACACAACTCCATCCAAGTCTAACGAAGGTGCTTCTATAAATATCCCTACAGATTCATTTTCTACGCCTAATATATGTTTGCAGGACACAACTCCGAGGTCTAGCAATTCTCAGGCCATGCCACAACCATCCCCTGTTCCTCTTCTCCCTGAGCTTCATGTTTCCTCAACCCCTCTGCTGGCCGAACCTGAAATTACAGAAGCCAGGGGGCATGCTCGATCACCGACGCTGCCGCAACCAGAAACACGCAGACAGTTGTCGGCGAACACACCCACACGACAACCGTCGCTTGTCCAACCAGACGCCCCACACGGCAGCCTCATCAATTCTGATGGCATTCGACGTAGTGCTCGAATCCAAGAACGCGGCGACAAACCTGGTAACTCTGTATTATATCCAATTCAGGACTACTGCACACATTTACAATCTGATGAAATTTCTTTTTTTAGCCACATAGAAAAACACAGGGAACCTCGTTCATACAAAGAGGCACAGAATGTTGACGTTTGGCAGGTGGCCATGCAAGACGAATTGGCTGCTCTGGAAAAAAATCAAACATGGTCCATTGTGGACAAACCGGTGGATAAAAACATCATTGGAAGCAAATGGATTTACAAGATTAAATTCCGCAGTAATGGCGAAATAGAACGCCACAAAGCCCGACTTGTCGCCCAAGGATATACCCAAACATATGGCGACGACTACAACGAGACGTTTGCCCCCGTCGCCAAATTACCTACGGTTCGAGTTATCCTATCCCTTGCTACTAACTTAAACTGGAATCTTTGGCAGATGGACGTTAAAAATGCGTTCCTCCAAGGCGATTTAGAGGAAGAGCTCTACATGCTACCTCCACCGGGCTATCGAGATCAACTTGGTCCCGATAAAGTATGCAAACTTCACAAATCCCTCTATGGCCTAAAACAATCTCCAAGAGCTTGGTACTCCAAGTTGAACTCCGCTCTTCTTTCAGCATCATTCATTCGAAGCAATTCGGATCACTCCTTATTCATCAAAACAACAAAATCGGGTACTATCGTTCTTCTCATTTATGTAGACGATATTATAATTACTGGTGATGATGTTCATGGTATTTCACAAACTAAGGTTTTCTTGCAGCAAACTTTTGACATCAAGGATTTGGGAGAGCTACAATATTTTCTTGGCATCGAAGTTATCAAACACCCTAACGGCCTTTTTCTCTCTCAGCGAAAATACGCTTTGGATCTCCTCACCGACACCGGAAAACTCGCGACCAAACCCGCCAAGACGCCCTTAGAAGAAAACTACAAAGAACAACGCGAGGGGGAATTATACACAGACATTGAACAATATCGTCGCGTTGTAGGTAAGTTGATATATCTTACCATCACCCGACCTGATTTATGCTTTGCTGTGAAACAGGTTAGTCAGTGGATGCACACACCAACAATCCACCATTGGCATATGGTTGAGAGGATCCTAAAATACATCAAAGGAACTCCGGAAAAAGGCATTTGGATGAATCGGAATAATCATGTTGGTGTGGTAGCATACTGCGATGCGGACTGGGCCGGAGACAGAGTGGACAGAAAATCAACCACAGGATACTGCACATTCGTTGGAGGCAATTTAGTCACTTGGAAAAGCAAGAAGCAACAAGTAGTGGCAAGATCGAGTGCGGAAGCTGAATACCGGGCGATGGCGAACACAACGTGTGAGATCATGTGGCTCAAAGCTTTATTACAAGAGCTCGGAATCACCATCAACCAACCAATCATCCTCCATTGTGACAGTCAGGCCGCAATGCACATTGCGCAAAATCCCGTGTTTCATGAGCGAACCAAACACATTGAAGTGGATTGCCACTTCATTCGTGAGAAGATAACTCAAGGAATTATTGCTACATCATACACCAAGAGCAACGATCAACTTGCCGACATATTCACCAAGGCATCTAATATCAAAGTGTTCAACAATTCTCTCTCCAAGATTGGTGTCGTCGATATTCCCGAACCAATCTTGAGGGGGAATGTTAGGCCGGAGACTCACATTGACCAAGCTAAAGGGGAGCGACATCAAACAGGAACTCACGAAGAAGCTCGGATGGTGAGTGTAATGCAAGCAACTACACACGAAGAACAATACGGTGTAATGGACGAGTGGCACAATCCTTGGAGTGATCTTGGTATTCTCATTGACTGAATCAAAGGAGCTAAATCAGAAGATATTATGTTTCTATTTCTGTTTTATTTAGCTGCTTATTCTTTGGTCAGAATTGATTTAGTTTCCATAAACTTTCCCATGTACAACTCTCATATATTCTTGCTGTATGGTACGAAGCTAATTAACAGAGACAATGGAGATTCCTTCTCCAGTACTTTCTTCAAAACTCAGTCTTTGAAATCTGTTAGCGTATCAAAACTCTTCCAATTCTTCAAATTATTTCATGGTCGAGTCTCATCCTCTCCATCCTTCTCATAGGCTCGAGCTCGCTCCATCTGCACAACGACTACAATGCTTCGCGTGTGATGAGTTGATATCATGGGATTGGGGATACAAATGTGAAACGTATGGAACGGATGCCAGAAAGGGATGCAGAGTGTTCTTCCATTTGCAGTGCGGGATCTCTCTCGGACGTCTTTTGAAATACAGACGCCATGATCATCTTCTCTATTACTTCCATAGGAAACCGACCCCGGAGTTTGAGAAGTCGTGCATCGTTTGCATAAGAAGAGTCGAAAGCGCTTACTACAGATGCCGAGAATGCGGATTTCACGTCCATCTTCGTTGCCTCGGCCTTTCGCCCACCGCCAAACACAAACTCCACATTCATCCCTTTTCCTTTGAGGATTCTTCAGATGACGGAGGATACTATTGTGATATCTGCGAAGAACCGAGGGACCCTAAACATCCTGTCTATTCCTGCAAAGACTGCAACTTTGTTTCCCACGTTGAATGCACTGCCTCTGAGGTTACTCTTTCTACATATATACGTGTATATATATATATACATGTTACAATATTTACATAGTTTCAGTTTTCAAGATTCCCATAGCAAAGCCATATGATTTTGCTAAATTTTTTTTTTTTTTTTGAGGGCAGGAAAATGTTTAAGACTTTGCGTTGGAAGTGTCACCACTTTGGACTACCGGCTAACTTACACATATTGCGTAATAATGTGGATGTCTTTTCTTTTCTTTTTCAACTGAATACATTGTAAGAAGGACAAAAAGGGACAGTGGACGGACGGGGGAAGAACATAGACAAAAGAATCAATGAACAAATGAAGCACACACGCACCCAATGTCCTCGCCGTCAATCCCACGCTTACAAAAACATACCCAAACCAAAGCTAACGGAGATAAACAACACTTACAGAAACAGATACTACCTTCTGTAGGTCTTTTTCTTGTTCTCGTCGTTACAATGTTTCTTCTTTTTGTTTTTGTCTGAACCCGAGACATTAACTTCATGTTCAAATTATCGATGACGACATCGCTGATCTAAAGAGCTACAGAAAGAAGGAAGAAAAAAAGAGACGGGAAGGGAAAAGAGAGGGGGGGGGGGG